CATGCCAAATATCCTTGGGCAAGATACTAACCCCCTGTTGCTCTCTGATGCATCCATCGGAGTATGAATGATGTGTGAATGTTAGTTAGGAAGCTTTACTTAGTACTTAGTTCCTCCTACGCCGGGCGGCGCATCGGGCAGCTACTGATCTCCATCGATGTCGGTCAGCAGCGACTGCTTCAGCTTCGTCCCAGGCAATGTCGACAGTTCTCAGATCGTCCATGAATGTTCGACGCCATGTGATCTTTGGTCGGCCTTGCTTTCGCTTGCCAGTGCGTGGATGCCATGTCATGGCAATCTTAGCTGGGCGATGAGGGGGTAGGCGTAAAATATGGCCCGCAAAGCGGAAGCGCCTTTCTGCAACAACATCGGCTAATGGGCGGGTGCCTGCTCTTCGTAGGACCTCCTCATTTGTTATTCGGTCCCGGTAGGAAATTCTCAGGATTCGCCGCAGGCCACGTTGCTGAAGCACGTTCAGGTGTTGAATAATTGCACTTGTTGAGCGCCAGGTTTCACTAGCGTAAAGCGCAGTAGGGAAGACGATAGAGTTCAGTAGTCTGATCTTGACCCTAACAATCAGGGAGGTCGAGTTCCAAATAGGTTGGAGATGTCGCAGGACACCAACTGCCTTCCCTACTCTGGCGTCGACATCCCGATCAGAGACCCCGTCATTCGAGATGATGCTGCCAAGATATGTAAAATTCTCCACCTCTTCAGCACTTTGTTGGTTGATCATGACAGGAATGCGGGCACGTGCATAGCCAACTCGGAGTACCTTGGTTTTTTTGGCGCTGATTCTTAATCCAACTTTCGTCGCCTCCCTCTGCAGGGCCGCGATCAACTTTTGGAGGTCTTCCTGAGTCGAGCCCAGCTGGGCGATGTCATCTGCGAAGTCCGAGTCAGTGAGATTACGCGCTTCGTGCCAGGGCACACCGATGCCCGATACCGATTAGTTAGGAAGCACTTAGGAAAAACAGTTTAGGAAAAAGTGCTTGTGCGAATGGGTGTGATTTGGTGAATGAACAAGTTGTTTAAAGCGCTTTGAGCGCTCAGATGAGTAGAAAAGCGCTATATAAGAAACAGTCCATTTACCTCCATCCGGTCACAGCAGATGGCTGCTTGAGCTGGAGGTGTCTTCCTGTAAAAAGGGAGTTTTTCCTCCCCACTTTAACTAAGTGCTCGTTCAAAAGGGGTTTGATTGTTGGGGTTTTCTCTGTATTATTGTAGGGACTTAAGGTTACAGTTGTTGTCATTGACTAGAACTGAACTATGTGGTGCATAAATCAGCACTTCTCTATAAAGCAGGAGTTGTTAGACTTTGGGGAAGACCACAGTGGTGGGAAACAGAACCACTGACAGTGATGCTGACCACCAGGAAATCAGGGTTTAAACTATTAGGAATGTTTATTTCTGTAGAAAAAAGATGGTTTATTTTCTGTAGGGAAGATAAACCAAAAGGAATTTGTGATGATTATTACATTTTGCTTTTGAGAAATTCCTCTTTGATTCTCATTTTTCTGTTTTGCTTGTATGCAGAATATAGGTTGTGATCTTTTTTTAAGCTTCTGAAGCTGGGCATGCCAGAAAAAGCCCTCTGAGCTCCAGCTGTGTTTGAGGAGGCTTATCCTGGAAGCAGGTAAACAGTTAATGTGAAGAGCAGAAAGAGGATTTCAAAACCACCACCGTATCAAATGTTTTGTATGCATGTACATCAGGTAGCAATGATAATTTACCAACCTTTTCATTTACAGAACCTGGAGACTTGAAATATTTATATTCTGCTGGGTTATACAGCATCAGCAGAGCTGTGTTGTACATATTGAGGCAAAAATCCCTGAAAAAATGACTCTCACTTTA